GCTACGTCATAGGTTATATATATTCTGTACCTTGAGCAAATACATTAATAGGTTATAGAAGTTGGTTGTCAGAGAATGAATAAGATAATTTTCCACTTTAAAAGATGGTTCTTAATTGAAAAAAAGCTACAACAAAGGTAAGCATTAGTGTTCATCAAAAGATACCATAAAGAAACGTTTTAAAAAAGCAAATTTATTAGACAACTTTGCAGTTGCTGGGATTAAACTTATTACTCTAAACACTGATAAATAAAGGGAAAGAAAGCATTTTAAAAGAATTAGTGCATAGCTGTACATTATAATTTTGTTGAATCGTAAGTTGGTTAAATATAAAACCAAATACATTACTCCCATGAAAATGACTGAAAACATGAAAATAAAAGCCACAAGCTGGGGGAAGATATTTCTAACATACATAATCAAAAAGGCTTTATATGAAGTATAGAAAGAGCTCCTACTAATCAATAAAAAAGGAAAAAGAAATAAATATAAATTTCACAGAAGAGAAAGTACAAATGGCTCATCAATATGTAAAAATGGGGCAGCTCATTGACGATCAGGAAAACACAAATTTAAACTACAATGTGATACTATTTATCACTCACCAACTTGACATAAAAAACAAATATGGCCTAGGATGTGGAGCAAGGGGGCCATGTATCCACTACTTGTGGGAATATAAATATATAAAATATAGAAATATGTATTGTAAATATATATATATAACCATTTTGGAAAGATAATTTGGTGTTACCAGCTAAGGTTCAACATAATCATATTCTATTTCACTTCTAGGTCTCTACCATTTGAACTCTTGTACTGGGATATTTGCACAAGATTGCCAGAAGCAACACTGTAATAGCAAAACAGAAAAAACCCAAATGTTGAAATAAGCTGTGTTACATTCATGCTTGGCAATAGTCTTCAGCATTGAAAATGGAAGAACTACTGCAACAGTCATCAACATGCCTATGTCTAAAGAACATATTGTTGACCAAAATAAGCAAATGACTAGTGAATCCATACAATAGAAATCTATTTACAGAAAGTTCAAAACCTGGAAAAACCTTAAAAATGTATTGTTTATGGATATGCATATGTGATTAAAAAAAACAATTTTAAAAAAGCAAGGGAATGATAACACGAAGTTTGGGAAGGGGTTTACCTTTGGAGAAAGGGCGGGGGAAGCATGCAGCAGAGAGTGGGACACAGGGGCTTCTGTGGTGTTAGTAATATCCTGTTTCCTGGGTTGCTTGCGGGGGCCTTCCAGAGGGGGGATACTTTAAAAGTTTTAGATGGTAAAGGAATATGTTTAATTATTCTGCCACTGATCCTTCAAATGAACAAAATTACATAAATTCTAAAACTGCTCAACAAAAGATATGGTCATAGCACACATTGTTTCTTTTTTAAAAATTTTTATTGAAGTATAGTTGATTGACAATGTGGTGTTAGTTTCAGGTGTACAGCAAAGTGAATTGGTTATACACACATTGTTTCCTAAATCATTCTAGGAACTTCCAAATAATTTGTTGATTTTTTACTTGGTGTGTGTATTGTCTGGCACAGCTGAGACGAGTCAAGTGGTGCCCTTTCCGTGCATGACTTGACATGGGGTAGCAGCGTGCTCCTCAGTGCTTACCCATCGCACTGAAGTTGTTGTATGATGTGTGGTCTCAATAAGTGGAGGAAGAAAGGGTCCATAGTGCCGAATGCTTTCTGTACCCTGTAAGGTAACATGTTCAATTCATTAATGCTGGGATATCATTGACATGGAACACTATATTAGTTTCATGTGTACAACATAATGATTCGATATTTGTATATAGAGT